GCAGCGTCTGCCCCAGGACCAGCCCTGCCACAGCCCAGGAAAAGTGGGGGACAAAGCAAGCTGCTTGGGGGGCAGGGAGGGTGCGTAGGGCAGAGAAGACAGGTATTGGAGGGTGCTGCCTAGGAGAAGAGCTGGGAGCTGCTTGGGGGCAGGGCTGGGATGGGGACACACATGCAGGGAGGGATCACCGGAGGGCCAAGGGCGACCTGCTCATTCAGGAAGAGACATGGGGTACAGGCACTTGGGGAGTTGCTGTGGGGGTGCGGTGGGGTGGGGGCAGGCGTAGGGAGCTGCTCTCGGGAAAGGGGGCTCGAACATGGGGATGGAGGTATTGGGATGCAGGATGAGCGTGCCCAGACCAGGGGGAAACACGCAGCTGCCGGGGCTCAGGGAGCCCTGGGGCACCTGTGGGAGCCCCCTGCCCCAGCAGAGTCCATGTGTCCCCAGTCCTTGGGCTGAGTCCCTGCTGGAGGGTTTCCCCAGCACCTCTGGCCCCACTGGCATCCTGGGCTTGTCTAGCTGAGTCCCATGCTCCCCCAGGAAGGGTCTCCATCCGCAGCCTCTGCAGCCCTGAGCCAGATGTGGTCATCTGGGGCTGAGGGAACAGGCCCACATGTCTTAGGGGGTCTGTCAGAGCAGGCTGGGGTGCTGGTGTCACTCGAGGTCACTGGGTTGGGTTATACCCGCACGGCAGGCCCAGAGCCCGTGGTGAGGGGCACGGTGGAGCTGCAGTCATAGTCCAGGTCCACCACGGCGTGGGAGCTGGCGATGAGGCTGTTGAGGGATGGCCCCGTCTGCCGCTCTCGGAAACTCTGGATGTAGCTCTGCTCGAGAGAGGAGTGGGAAGTTAGGGGGTCCCTGCTCCCAGCACACTCCTTCCCCTCCCATCTCATCCTATCCCATCCCACTCCAGCCAGCCCTAAGCTCTGCTGCAGCCCCCCGGCACCTGCCCTGACACCCTGTGCAGTCCTGTCCACCCCAGCACTGCCAAAAGGCTCCCAAAAGCGCACTGGGAAGAGACCAGCTGCGTCCAGCAAAGCTCAGCGAGCCTCATGCAGCAAGGCCCTGGCACGGGGTGCCAGCCCGCCCTCCAGCACCCA